CAGTTGCATATAATACCCAGTGCTCATTCCATCACGTCCACTCCTTAATGCCTATCACCCAGTTACCCCATCCCCCCACCCACCACCCCTCCAGCAACCCTCAGTTTGTTCCCTATAGTTAAGAATCTCTTCTTCTGGGCGCCTGGGTGGCTCAGTTGGTTAAGCGACTGCCTTCGGCTCAGGTCATGATCCTGGAGTCCCTGGATCGAGTCCCGCATCGGGCTCCCCGCTCAGCGGGGAGTCTGCTTCTCCCTCTGACCCTCCCCCCTCTCATGTGCTCTCTCTCTCTCATTCTCTCTGTCTCAAATAAATAAATAAAATCTTAAAAAAAAAAAAAAAGAATCTCTTCTTCTGGTTTGCCTCCCTCTGTTTTTATCTTATTTTGTTTTTCCTTCCCTTCCCCTATCTTCATCTGTTTTGTTTCATAAATTCCACATATGAGTGGAATCATATGGCATTTGTCTTTTCTAACTGACTTATTTCGCTTAGCATAATACCCTCTTGTTCCATCCACGTCGTTGCAAATGGCAAGATTTCATTCTTTTTGGTGGCTGAGTAATATTCCATTGTATATATATATACCACATCTTCTTTTTTTTAATTTTCTCCTCCTTAATCTACTTTCTTTTTTTCTTGTTACGATAATCACCATATATTACATCATGAGTTTTTGATGTAGTGTTCCATGATTCATTGTTTGTGCATAACACCCACTGCTCCACGCAGAACGTGCCCTCTTTAATACCCATCACCAGGCTAACCCATCCCCCCACCCTCTCCCCTCTAGAACCCTCAGTTTGTTTTTCAGAGTCCATCGTCTCTCATGGTTTGTCTCCCCCTCCGATTTACTCCCCTTCATTCTTCCCCTCCTGCTATCTTCTTCTTCTTCTTTTGTTTTTCTTAACATATATTGCATTATTTGTTTCAGAGGTACAGATCTGTGATTCAACAGTCTTGCACAATTCACAGCGCTCACCATAGCACATACCCTCCCCAATGTCTATCACCCCGCCACCCCATCCTTCCCACCCCCCCACCACTCCAGCAACCCTCAGTTGGTTTCCTGAGATTAAGAATTCCTCATATCAGTGAGGTCATATGATACATGTCTTTCTCTGATTGACTTATTTCACTCAGCATAACACCCTCCAGTTCCATCCACGTCATTGCAAATGGCAAGATCTCATTCCTTTTGATGGCTGCATAATATTCCATTGTGTATATATACCACATCTTCTTTATCCATTCATCTGTTGGTGGACATTTGGCTCTTTCCACAGTTTGGCTATTGTGGACATTGCTGCTATAAATATTGGGGTGCACGTACCCCTTCGGATCCCTACATTTGTATCTTTGAGGTAAATACCCAGTAGGGCAATTGCTGGATCGTATGGTAGCTCTATCTTCAACTTTTTGAGGAACCTCCATACTGTTTTCCAGAGTGGCTGCACCAGCTTGCATTCCCACCAGCAGTGTAGGAGGGTTCCCCTTTTTCCACATCCCTGCCAACATCTGTCATTTCCTGACTTGTTAATTTTAGCCATTCTGACTGGTGTGAGGTGGTATCTCATGGAGGTTTTGATTTGGATTTCCCTGATGCCCAGCGATGTTGAGCACTTTTTCATGTGTCTGTTGGCCATTTGGATGTCTTCTTTGGAAAAATGTCTGTTCATGTCTTCTGCCCATTTCTTGATTGGGTTATTTGTTCTTTGGGTGTTGAGTTTGATAAGTTCTTTATAGATTTTGGATACTAGCCCTTTATCTGATATGTCATTTGCAAATATTTTCTCCCACTCTGTCGGTTGTCTTTTGGTTTTGTGGACTGTTTCTTTTGCTGTGCAAAAGCTTTTTATCTTGATGAAGTCCCAAGAGTTCATTTTTGCCCTTGCTTCCCTTGCCTTCGGCAATGTTTCTAGGAAGAAGTTGCTGCGGCTGAGGTCGAAGAGGTTGCTGCCTGTGTTCTCCTTTAGGATTTTGATGGACTCCTGTCTCACATTTAGGTCTTTCAACCATTTGGAGTCTATTTTTTTGTGTGTATATACCACATCTTCTTTATCCATTCATCTGTCGATGGACGTCTGGGCTCTTTCCATAGTTTAGCTATCACGTTATATTTATATATGTATCTGTTTCCTATTTAGAGTCGAAGTTACTTGAGGGCAGAGACTGTATCATATGTTCCCTGTACCCCTAATGCCTAGCTAAGCACAGAGCACACAGTAGGTGCTCAACGAGTACTTTAAAAAAATGTACTAAGGGAGCGCCTGGGTGGCTCAGTCATTAAGGATCTGCCTTCGGCTCAGGTCATGATCCCAGGGTCCTGGATTGAGCCCCATGTTTGCCTCCCAGCTCAGTGGGGAACCTGCTTCTCCCCCACCATTTGTGCACACACCCATGTGCTCTCTCTCAAATAAATAAATAAATAAAATCTTTTAAAAAATAGAATATCAGACACTGGCGATGTGAAAGGAAATGGCATTGATGTGATTTTTTTTTTTTTAATTCTATTGTGGGGCACCAGGCTGGCTCAGCCAGAAGAACATGTGATTCTTGATCTCACAGTTGTGAGTTCGAGCCCCACATTGGGTATAGAGATTACCTAAAAATAAAATCTTTTAAAAAAATTCTATTATTGTAGGAACACTTAACATGAGATCTACCCTCCCAACAGATGTTTAAGTGTACTTTAAAGTATTATCTATAGGCACAGTGTTGTACAGCAGACCTCTAGAATTTGTTCATCTCACATAATTTAAACTTTCTACCTGTTGATTAATAGCTCCTCATTTCCCCCCTTCGAGCCCCTGGAAACCACCATTCTACTTTCTAATCTCTGCTTCTATGAGTTTGACTATTTTAAAAGCCTCATGTAAGTGGAATCATGTAATATTTGCCCCTTAGTGATTGGCTTATTTCACTTAGCGTAATGTCTTCAAGGTTCATCCATGGTGTCACGTATTACAAGATTTCCTTCTTTTTAAAGGCAGAATAATGTATCATCGTATGGATATACCACATTTTATTTATCCATTTATTTGTTTTGAGTATTTAGATTGTTTCCACATCTGGGCTACTGTGAATAGGAACATGGGAATGCTAATATCTCTTTAAGATCCTGATTTTAATGCTTTGGGTAAATACCCAGAGTGGGATTGCTGGATCATATGGTGATTCTATTTTTAATTTTTTAAGGAATCTCCATACTGTTTTCCATAGCAGCGGCACCATTTTGCATTCCCGCCAGCAGTGTACAAAGGTTCCAATTTCTCCACATCCCCAATAACACTTGCTATCTTTTCTTCTTTTTTTCTTATGATCACCTTCTTAGTAAGTATGAAATTATATCTCATTGTGATTTTTGACTTGCATTGATGATTACTGACATTAAGCATCTTTTCATATACCTGTTAGTCATTTGTGTGTCTTTTTTGGAGAAATGTCTGTTCAGGTCTTTAGCCCATTTAAAATTGGTTTATTTGGGCTTGTTTTTATTTTGTTTTGTTTTATTTTTTTGTTACTGAGTGGTTCGAGTTCCTTTAATATTTTGGAAGTTAACCCCTTCTCTGATATATGGTGGGCAAATATTTTCTCCCATCCTGTAGGTTGCCTTTTCACTCAGTCATTGTTTTCCTTGCTGTGCAGAAACCTTTTAGTTTGATGTGGTCATGTTTGCCTATGTTTGCTTTTGCTGCCTATGCTTTTAGCGTTGTCATATCCAAAACATCATTGCTAAGGCCAATGTCAAGAAGATTTTCCCCTGTGTTTTCTTCTGGGAGTTTTACAGTTTCAGATCTTGCATTTAAGTTTTATCTAATTTTGAGTTGTTTTTTGTATATGGTGTAAGGTATGGGTCCAGTTTCTGATACAGAGTTTTACGTTGCTAAATTGGTTCTTTCTCTTGGCCGTTCAGTTTCTGCAATCCCCTTGACTTCAACCACACAATCCATCTTTTTATTTTTCTTCTAAAATTCTTCTCTTCTTGTTAGATTCATCTTTGCCTAAAACAGAGACCATTTCTTTCCACTTTGCTTCCCACATTCCTTTCTCGCCCAGATAAGCATTGGTTCTGGTGCTCTCCTACGCCTCCTGCAGCCAGCACTGAGTCAACAGGAAAATTTTCACACGTCCTATTTGGAGATTCAACCCTCAGGTAATAATTCTCCAGCTTTTAGTCATTCATATCCTTTGGTTCACCGAAATGTTGAGTCTAGTGCCTTCTAATTGCTGACCTAAATAATATCCCCAGTTTTTTAAATATAAAGTTTATTTTAGTAACAACCATGAGTCATTACAGAAGCTAATGAACTTGGGAATTCTATGAAATCATCCAAGCCTATAAAGCCTATTTTCCAAGATTCCTTTCTCTTAGTTCAAGGCCACAAGAATTGGAACATGATGGAACTTGACTTCCAGCCCACATTTGCCTTATGTCTAGATAATTATGAGTTATAAATCAAGCTAACAAATTGTTAAATGAAACACACTCTACTCTCCTATCTTAAATCTTAACAAATATACCATTGTAATGACCTATAAGGGCAAGGTTGAACTTAGAATTTTCAGACTCTTGGTGTTCTGTACAGGACTATGGTGACAGAGAGAAAAGCTGGCCCCAGCCCTGGGCCAATCCCCTTCCCCTTTACCCAGCCCTATTCCTCACCTAAGTGGCCTTGCATCCCCTATGTGGACTCCTTAAGCCCCATTCAAGTTCCAGCCACACATCCTCACTCCCTTCAGACAGCAGTAACTGGGCATCCTTTGGGCAAACACAGTCTGTCTTTTGAAGATGGATCCCGGGAAGAGTCCCTGCAGGCTCAGGGCCATTTGGACAGGGCCTTGACTACCCGGAGTGTGGTCCAGAAGAGAGGGTGCAAGCTCCAGATAAGAAGGAGTGCACTCAGGGGAAGACCGGAGAAGCACCTCCTAAAGCACAGGGTCCAGGCAGGGGCCTACTTGCCCAAGTCTACTGCTCAGCCCAGCGGTGTGTCATGTCCTCTCAGCCCACTTCTCATTTCAGGCTCAGCCCAGTGGACAGTTCCACGGAAGCACAGACTTGCATTGTGTTGCCGGCATAAGCTCAAGCTACTTCCAGCTCAAGCTCAACTTTCTGCCCCACAACCATCTCCAATATTGTAGGAGTTTGCCTGCACACAAATGCAGACGAGAAATATCTCTGAGTTAACCATCTCAGAGGAACCCTCAACTAATACAGGACAGGAGGAGCAGGTGGGCAAGTGCTCAAACCTCCCATTGCTTCAGGTAGATAAATCTGGACAGGTTTCCCTGAGCCTCTTTTGAGACCCTCATAGAAACAAGCCCACTGCTCAGAGAAGCCACCTCAACAACACACCCTTATCTTGGCTTTTCCTCCTTCCCTGCCTCACTTGTGCTCTCTCACTCTTGCTTCCTGGAATCACTTCCCAAATAAATGCCTCCCACTCAAGTCCATGCCTCAGGCTTTGCTTTTTGGAATACTCAACAGAATAAAGAGACACATCTAAGAAATAAAAGGACCAGCCCCTTCCAAGTACAACCACACGATCAGCCCAGGCTCACTTCATCAACAATCACTTAAGAACTTGTCTGAAGGTAAAAAGTATTCTCCAACATGTTTCTATTATAACCTAAATTCCTATTAAAGAGGTTTTTGTTGTTGTTGTTGTTTTTCCTTTGAGGGGGTGGTCCCTTTGGTCTTTCCTCTATCTGAATGTCTAAAGTCCTTTTATGAAACCTCACTCCCATGGCTAAATTTTCCCAAATCGACCATAGCCTATTGGGAGGCAGGATGAAGGCAGCTGCTTATGGAAAATGAAGAAGGAAGGGAAGCAGACCAGAAGCAAAAAGCTGTTAGTAATTTTGACATCAAAGATTACAGTGAGCAAGATAAAGTGCAAATAGCCCCTTTATACAGTTGACCACTGGGCTGAGGATTACATATACCAGAATTTCCTGAACAGTTCCCACTTCAAAGTTTTGACATGAGATTCATAAACACAGTCCTCTGGTCAGCCTGTTGTCCAGATTTAAGCTTCAGAAAATAGAGTCACAGACCATCCATGGCCAGGCTAGGGACTGCTTTCTGTTGTCTGGGTGCCTTGTCCAGGGCCAGGGCCTTAAGATTGGCTTCCTAAAGGTTGCATAGTGCCCAGTTCCTGGAAGCCTATGGGAAGGAGATTTTTGACAAGACCAACAGACACCACTTCTTGCACAGCTTAGCCCTGTTAGGGGTACCCTATTGCAGAAAGGGTAGTTTACTACTGGCCTCTGGAACCACCTTGCTCTACACCAGCTTTTACTACCAGGCTCTGAGTAGACACCGTAGTGCCCAGTTTTTAGCCCCTGTGGGAGGGAGCCACTCATGACCTAAAGGTGAACCTGCCCATCTATTATTTACCTCTCCAATTTAAAAAACAAAACTGGAGTGGATGGCAGAGAGGATCAACCATGTAAACCATCAATCTTAGAGCTGGAAGGATTAACCCCTCACTTAACAGATGAGATTCTGCCATAGAATTATAGCCTAAGGTAATATATTGGGATTTTTCTGTAGATTTAGTAAAATTAATCCTAAAACCTTAAATGGTTGCATATTGCAACCATTTGTGATTTAATAATGTTTTCAAGGGGTTATTTTGTACAGTAAACTGGTGTGGAGGGTTCCTGCAAGGTGCAAACAGATTGATTTCATTATCTGTGCTGACCCCCAGTGGTGGAGGTAAGGAGGCACACCCAGGAGTGGTCACTGGTGTTAGTGCATCCAGGAAACAGACATATACAGACCTAAGAATAGACAGCTACCCATCCTTATAATCAACGCTACAATAACCTTGTAGATTTGGTCCTTCTCTTCAGAAATGAGAATGTCATCTCTATAGTTATGAATAAACACCTTTTATGTACTAACACTGAAAAAGAAATCAAAATCTTGACCTCCAGATACAAGGCCATAGAAAAATGTTTTAAATATTCCAGGTATTATTCAGCAAACATTACTGAAATGAACCATAGGTCAGGCACTATTCTAGGCCCTTGGAATAGAAATATCAACAAAATAGGGCCTTGAGCTAGAGGAACTCACAGTTCTTTCCCGGGAATGAACACTCAACAAATCATTACATTCAGTGTGACGTGCCCTGTTATAGCAACAAATTGGCTTTTTCTACTAATATTATTAAGAGCATCAAATATCAGAGATATCAGGGAAGAAAAAATAACTTGGCAACTATAGGGTTGTCAGAATAAAGCAATAGAAAGTGTGAACTTTTAAAACATGCCAAATTACAAATTAAACAGAAAATGGTTGGTAATGAAGCAAACAGCAAAAAATCTTAGGAAGCAGTATTATGAAAAGAAAATAAATGCAGTGATCTGAGCTTTGGATGTCTTTGTCATGCAAAATAGAAGGTGGAAAAAGGCAATATACATTGATCTGAATATATTAACATATTTCAGTAAAAAGTAGACTGAAATACATTCATCTTGGCAGATGAACAAAAGGAATAATGCTTTAGATTTTAGCAACCTTGGCTGAAAGGATGGAAGCAATTTTGAGCCATTTAAAAAGAAAGTAACAAACTAAATCGGGCCAAAATTTAGGATTAATTTAATTTAATTAGTATTTAATTACACTTAATTAGTAGTGTAGGGAGTAAATGTTACCTAGATAAATGACAACCAAGGAATGGCAGACACATTCTAAAATACCAAAAACTAACAATGTCTTGGTTTGGACACATATTGCTGAGAAAGGACCAAAGATGGAAATTTCTACCTTTTAAGAAAATGTTAGACTTTTGGGTAAAGATGATTGAATACAGTTGGATCACAGGATCTACCTCTCTCAATACCTAGAGATATAAACTACCTGAAGAGAAACAGCAGAGTTCCCCTAAAGTAAATAAACATGGTATAATGTTAGGCTATAGCCTTCAGAAGGAGATAATGGCTAATGAAAGAGAAAGAGAAATTTTGCAAGGCTCTGCCAGATGTCAGACCCACTGGAGCCACTGGGCACTGCAGGTGCAGAGTCCAGGACCACAAAACCACAAGGATCTCCAAGAATGTTTGCTATTGTCTCAAAATGAGAAAAGAATTTAAGTTAATGAAAACTTCAATGCTGTTTTTCTTTAAATTTTTAAATATTTTATAGGAAAATTATTTTTACTGCAAAATATGTGATCTGTTATGTTTGATATGATAAAGAACAAGACTATCTCCAAAAATGAGTGTTCAGGACCCATCATAATTTCTAAGGGGCCCCACTAATATGCCCCATATTGAAGAGAAAGGGACTGAGGGAATAGCTTTATCTTGTCATGGAGTGAAAAAAATAATTAAAGGCCAACACTGATTTCACTTTTACTTTAGTTATCTATTTTTCTGTTAAATTCAAGAAAATACAACTGAAAAAAAAAAAAAACTGGCCAGATGGGCTCAACAGTAGAGTGGAAATGACAAAAGATAAAAGCAGTGCACTTAAGAACAGTGAATAGAAATTACTCAACCTGAACAACAGAAAATAGATTGGAAAAAAAATGAACAGGGCTTCGGGGTCCTGTGGAACAATAACAAAAGTTATATTTGTATCATTGGTCCCAGATTGAGAGGAGAAAGAATAGGGAGCTAGAAAAACATTCGAAGAAATAATGACTAAAGACTTCCCAAATTTGGTGAAATACATAAACCTATAAATGCATGAAACTAAACGAATCCCAAATCAAGGAAATCTGTGCCAAGACACATCATAATCAAACTTTTGAAAACAGGCAAATCTGAAAGTAATCATTCATTGCTTAATACTTTAAAATATATTACATTAGTACATTACATACATTATTACATTAAAATATAGTACATCATATCATTTTTAATTAAAAAAAACTTGGGGCTAATTATAAACTTACAGAAAAATTGCAGCAATAATATGAAGAGTTTTGTTATATTTCTCATCACGTTTCCCTTACTACTAACAACTTATAAGACCATAGTACAATTATCAAGAAAATTAACAATGCTACAATAATATGAACTAAACTGGAGACCTTTTCAAATTTCACAAGTTTTCCATTAATGTCCTTTTTTTTGTTTTGTTTTGTTTGGGTTTTGTTTGTTTGTTTTTTAATTTTATTATGTTATGTTAATCACCATACATTACATCATTAGTTTTTGATGTAGTGTTCCATGATTCATTGTTTGTGCATAACACCCAGTGCTCCACGCAGAACGTGCCCTCTTTAATACCCATCACCAGGCTAACCCCTCCCCCCACCCCCTCCCCTCTAGAACCCTCAGTTTGTTTCTCAGAGTCCATCGTCTCTCATGGTTTGTCTCCCCCTCCGATTCCTCCCCTGCATTTTTCCCTTCCTGCTATCGTCTTCTTCTTTTTTTTTTTTTTAACATATAATGTATTATTTGTTTCAGAGGTACAGATCTGTGATTCAACAGTCTTACACAATTCACAGAGCTCACCATAGCACATACCCTCCCCAATGTCTATCACCCACCAAAAATAAGTAAATAAGTAAGTAAGTAAGTAAATAAATAAATAAATAAAAGTAATCAGAGAAAGATGATGGAGAGCACCAACTCAAACAACAGAAGATTACTCATCTGGATCCATGGAGGTCAGCAGGAAGTGGCACATTTTTCAAGTGCTGATAGAAAAGAATAGGAAACTGTGAACTGTGTCCAGAGAAACTACCCTTCAGGAAGGAAGGGTAAGGAAAACAAAATCATCCTCAGATGAAAAAACTAAGAGAATTTGTCACTAGCAAACTACCCTTGACGAATGGTAAAAGTTCGTTTTCCAGATAGAAAGAAAATGATAACAGAAGGTTTGCAACTTCAGAAAGAAAAGAACAGGGGATGGGTAAAATGGGTAAAAATAGGGGTAAATATAATGAACTCTCCTTCTCATGAGTTTCTGAAATCATGTTTGATGGTTGATGCCAAAATTATAACAGCATCTGTTTGGTGTTCAAAATACGTAGAAGAAATACTTGAAACAATTATAAAAGGAGGGAGGGTAAAAGCATCTAAATGAAAGTAAGTTTTCAACACTTCACTGGAAGTAGTTAAACATTGATACCAATAGGCTGTGGTAAGTTATGTATGTACATTATAATACCTAGAGCAACCACTAAGAAAACTATGCAAAGCAATATACTCAGAAACAGTATAAATTAAACAAGGTGGAATCCTAAGAAAATGATCAAGCATCCCACGGGAAGGCAAGAAAAGGGAAACAGAGGAAACACAAATAATAAAATAGCAGACATAAACAACATTTTAAGAACTACTTTAATGATAAATGGTCTAAAAATACTAACTAAAGGACAAAGAATA